AAAAAAAAAAAAAGACTCCTTATATGTCACATGTTAGAACCTTATGAGATGCAAAAATAGGAAGGACAAAGGCAGTTTTGAGAGAAATCTAGTTGAAGTGGAGGGTTTCTGTGGGAAAGACAAGGGTGGAAAGATAATGAGGCAAGTGTTTGGACAGAGTTTGTTCAATAAGTAACAGGTAATGTTAATGAAATAAATGGGTGCAGTACATTGTGAATATACTAAATGCCACTGAACTGAACACTTTAAAATGGTTACTTTTATATTATGTGAATTTCACCTCTATTTAAAAATTAGAGAGCCACTAAAAACTGTGTCTAGGTACTAGGCTTATCGGGGGGATAACTTAATAAATTATATAAATGTCTAACTGCTATGCTGTACACTTGAAACTAATATAAAATAATATTTAATGTCAACCATAATTAAAAAAAAAAGTCAGGGGGATGTAAAGTACAACATAGGGAATATAGTCAATAATATTGCAATAACATGTACAGTGCCAGGGGTAATAAACTTATTGGGGTTATCACTTTCTGAGGTATATAAATGTCTAATCACTATGTTGTTTTGTACACCTAAAACTAATAAAAAAGTTCAGGAGAGTTTGGAAGACAATCCAGTAGAACTTTCTAATTTAAGCTAACCAGTGTCTTTATAATTCTAGAGCCTGTCCCAAGAGGAGAAACTAACGCTTTAAATGTACAAAAGGCACATATTATAGAACATATTTTAAAAGTATGCTTAATTGTACTGACATTTGCATTTAATTCAATTCAAATATTATAGCAATATAGTGGAAAAACATACATATGTATGTACATACATATATGTGTGTGTTTGTATAAAATTATTCCTAAGCGTCATATTTTTAGTTATTGTTTAGAAAAATAATATGTACTAAGATTTAACTTATGACAACAAGAACAATAAAGCAGACTTTTTATTACACAGAAAAAAATTAGAGAATCACTGAAATTAGTGACATGATATAAAGATTTTCAAAAAGATTACTCAAGTGATCATACCAATAGTTCTATGAGGAAAAAAAGACTGAAAGCAGAGAGACTGATTAGTTCGGAAGCTACTGTAATATTCTAGACACAAAAGAGAAAGCTCTAACCTAGAGGATAGTAGTGGGAATGGGATGGTGAGAAATAAGGCAATCTAAAAGAAACTTGGCAGAGCCAGAGAGCCAACTGGATATAGGGCACAAGACAAAGAATGATATCCATCGCACAGAATCTGTGACATCTGAATTATCTCTTTGGGATTTTGCAGATGTAAGTAAGGTCCCTTATGAGTTGAATTCAAGATAACCCAAAAGGAAGAAGATTGTGGGGGAACCGAACCCAGTCAGATAAGCCCTTTAAAACAGGGCCTAGAAGTCAGAGATTTTCTCCTGCTGGCCTTCAAGAAGTAAGCTGCCATGAGTCCTACAGCTTCAAGGAAATGAATTCTGCAGACACTTGAACTTGGAAGAAAACCCTAGGCCTCAGATAAGACACCAGCTCCATCCGACATCTTTAATGCAGCCCTGAGCAGAGGACTCTGCTAAACGATGCACAGAAATTGTGAGATACTAAGTATGTGTGGTCTTGTTGGAAGCTGCTAAATATGCAGTGATTTGTAATGCAGCAATAGAAAATATACTGGGGAAAGAACTTCGCAGGCAGAAGGAAAAGAAAATGGTGAGCCCTGGTGTGGGAGTATGCCTAGTATGCTTAAAGAAAGTAAGGCAGCCAGTGTGGCTGAAGTGGCTTAAGTGAGGCAAAGAAAATCACAACACGAGGTCAGAGGATAAGGGGAGAAGGAGCAGGCAACACAAAGTATGGCTGGCTGGTTAGCCTCAGTCATAAGGAGGAACCAATGGAGCCTTCTGATATGACACACATTTCGAAGGATCACTTTAACTGATATATTGAAAATATCCTAAAGGGGAAGAAAAGGTAGAAGCAAGTAGACCGGGAAGGAGGCAATAATTCAAGGAAGAGATGATGGTGGCTTGGACTAGTGTAGAAGCAGTCAAATTCTGAATACATGGTGAGTAAATAGGATTTGCTTTCATGTAGGCTAAAAGTTGATAGACTCCTACTCCTGCAAAGGAGAGGTTCTCAGGAAAAGTCTTTAATAGTACTATGATGCATGTGGTCCCACTATTTCTCCCTGACTTACTTCTCTGCTGTTGTAGCACCCTGTTCTCTGATTTAGATAGCACCTTATTCTTAGCCCTAGTTCCAGCCAATCAGAGGCATCAGCCTATTATCTCTCTTTACAATCCATGATCTAGCAGTTATGTCACACTGCAAATTAAGAAATAGTCGGGGCAGGCAACCACATTGTCTTCGGACTCCAAAATTCCTGTCCCCATCAGAGGAGCTGCGTTAGGAATACACTGCTCCTCCCAGTCACATAGCGCAGGAAACACCTGAGACCATTCCTACAAATGTGGCCAAGTGAAGCTTTGAATAGAGGACATTTTCTACTTCTTGAGTTATTCCAGAAAGACAAGAAAATCATCAGGAAAACACTGGAGAGGCTGCAATAGCAGAAGAGATATGGAATGAAGGGTATATTATGGAACATAAGGGATATTTCCAATTGTCTTCTTAAAATCTCTTATGCAAATCAGCTTTAATCTATGAAACGATAAAAGGTACTGAAGCTTCACAATGGAATCTCATGAAAACTAGAAAATGGGATAGAAAGATCCATGAGTCACTCCACTTGTTCCCCCATGGCACCCAGAAGACTAAAAGTGGGGCCATGTTTAACAGTCAATGCCATGATGGGGATCATAGCAACAAAGCTACCAGAAAGATCCAGGGTATGTACCAGCCTGAAGCACAACAGGGAGAAATGCTAACTGCCACTAAAGCCAAGGAAGTTTTCTCAAAATGGCAGTTTGCTGAGAATTCCTGCAGCAATTCTCCACTCCATTTCACTGACCGCGCTACTAAACACCGGCCACATGGGGGCACCAGCATACTCCACAACCAAATGAACGCCTGTGTTTTTTCCTAATCTGAGCTCTAGTAGGATGCTATCCAGTCTCTCATGGTGATTAGTAGAAATGCTGCTGCTAATGAAGGCATACATAATAGCCAAAGAATATAAAAGTGGCCACATTCAGAGGACTTGACAAATAACACAATGTAGCTTACAGTCTGTTCCACTGGCCCTCTAAACCCCTTTTAGGAAAGCCTAGTCCTAAGGGCTGCAGTTCCTGGCCTCCTGCTCGCTTTCCTTCCCACGCTTCAGGTCACCTCTCTACAAGTAACTCGAAGGCAAATATGTCTGGCCCTGGCCTCTCCACTGAGCTCGAGTCCTTCATCTCCGACTGTGCCCCAGTTACTGCAACCATCATCTCAGACCCGACACTTCTCTAAAGCCAGCTCATCTTTCCTTACAGACCAACTGTCCTTCCAGATTTTCTGACTTCTCTCATTAATAACAAACACTAACATTATCTGGCATGTGCCAGGCTTTACATGGGTTAATTCATTTACTACTTAAAATAACAAAGAGGTTCGATAGCTTACTCAAAAATCACATAGCTAAAGAAGTGTCAGAGCTGGGATTTGAATTCAGGCAGACGAGTCCCAATCCATGCTCTGAACCGTTACATGGTCCTGTTGGATATTTCCCTTTAAAGGTAAACGTTTATATTCCCAGTTTTCCACAAGTACCCAACATATTTTTGATGATGGAGTTAAAGCCCAGAAGCTAAGGGGCTTCTACTAAATTGTAAGGCCTAAGAGCAAGGACCAGGTCTCTGATTCGTGCTGTTTCTGGCACCTTACACAGTTCATGGCATATAATAAGCATTCAACACACAGTTTTGGTCTGAGTTGGCTGAAGTCACATTCAAATCACCATGTACACCGACCAAGAGACAAAAAAAGTGCCTCAAAAATCCAAATGTAGTCCCACCAACAGTAACACAGAGCTGGTGACAGGAGTTGCTATTTTGATAATAATGAGCAGAATAATCTTGTTTCAAAGTCAAAATAAATGTAAGAAAGAACATGATTGTAAAGTCATTGTAAGCGCAAAGAGTGTCTATAGAAATCTTTACCTAAAAAAAATATGGTGATGTAGGACAAGGTAGAGGAGATGGGCCGGTGGCTGGGAGAAGGTATCTGTGACCATTCAGAGGCAGCTGTCAAGAAGTATTATGTCCAATTCAAATATTAAAGCCCATTCGATTATTATGTTGTGAGTTGGGCCTTGTTTTTATAACACCTTATTTGTTTACATTCCCATATTCTAATGGCAGAAAAGTTCAGAACTACCACCCTACTAAAAAGTCAAGGTCTTGGAGGGGTCATATGAATAGGTATGGCACATTGAACTTTGTTAAATAAATTTATTCTTTTTAGGCAAGGCTGCAGAATCTTTCCGACTAGTTACCACTAAGTAAAAGTACGGTTTCTCCTGATATATATATATATATATATATATATATATATATATATATATATATATATATATATATATATATA